AAATGAGCTGGAGAAGGAAATGGCAAACCACTGCAGTATGTTTGCCAAGAAGACTCCAAATGGGGTCACCAAGAGTCAGATGCAACTGAACAACAACAAACAGCCACATTTTGTTTGTGTGTAGTTGTTGGCATGTTGTCTCCTCCATTCGACCCTGGGCTCCTCCATTCCCAGCACTGAGCACAGTGCCTGGCACAAAGTAGGTACCTAATAAAGGCTTCTTGATGGCTATCTCATTGAGGGGTCAGGCACCTGCCTCTGGCCTGGTACCCCTCTGTCCTGGGCCTTGGCCTTGATTGTGGTAGAGAGGGAAAGAGAAAGGAAGGGGGCCTGGAGATTTCCGTCCTGGAGCCAGATAGCCACTGAATAAATAATGTCCGGTGAGATGTGTGTGGGTCATAAAGCCTGTCGAGGCTGAGGTTAGCTCTCCTGGGATTGCCAGTCCTCTTGGATCTTGACTCACCCAAGTTCACCCCCTGTCAACCAATTAAGAGGACACTGGGTCTTTCCCTGGGCAGAAGGCTTGTTTTTTGGTAAATTGAACCTCTTCACCAATGACCTGGTCTTTTGAAATCATTACCTTCTGGGGTGGAACTGTATAGTAGTTTAGGGGTCAGTGGACATGGGACCCTTGAAGAATCCTGGCAAGAGGGAATGAGCCCTTCCTCAGTTTCCTTTCTCAAGGAATAGGGCCAATCCTCAGATCTGAATTCACACCCTTCCAGTTTGGAAGGGGTCCTCCTGCCCCAACCTCCTTTCCAGGTATCAATGAATGAATGAATGAATGAAAAAAAAAAGAAGAAAAAAGCGTTCCTTAGCCTAGAGATCCAAAAATCCTCCTGGAGAAGCATTCCTCCCACCCCCCCAAGGTTAGTAGGTAAAAAGTTTAATTAGTATCTTCTGATGGGCAGTTGCCAGGGGGCTAGCTACTTCGGAGAACAGGAGATAGCACACTTTGATGGATTTGTACACCACTTTGTGTACAAACAGCCTTCAGAATTTTACATGACAAAAGTGTCCCCTGCTCAGCTGTTTTCCTAATTTTGGAGGTAATTAGGAACAGGCTGTCAAGTCTTTGGGGGTGGGGGTGGGGAAGGGAAGAGAACTTTACTTTTGGAGTAAACAACTTGTCGAGGTGTTTCCTCCTATTTAATCTCAGACTGTCTTGGTGGGGTCAGAGGGCTCAATTTCATCTCCTCAGAATGTATAAATGAGACTGCAGAGAAGGCCAGCAAAGCCCTTCAGGCTTTGTGTCTTTGACCTCCAAGGTTAGGATTTCTGGGGAGATGTCTTCCCCAAACTCACAGCGCGCAGGATTTGTACATTTCCTCCACAATACAAACACAAGTGCAAAGCCTTCTAGGAGTTCATTGACATTTTAATGAAGAAGATAATACATAAGGAACAGTGGCCAGGAAGGGGCACTTTAGGCCAGAAAATTATTGGGAAGATGAGTTGGCCGTGGGGGAGTGGTTGTCACCCCCTCTTGGGACAGTGGCAGCGTTGGTTTGATCTTGGTTCATGGAACTGCCTTCTAATTCTAGCAGAACTATTCAGGCAAATGCCCTTGGGTGGCTTCCTTAGACCTGAGATCTTTAAGCCCTGAATGCCCTTTCTCTGGAAGAAAGAAACCTATTCCAACTTGGCTGAGGAATTGACTGGCTGTGCAAACATTTGTCTTTGCCTCTGCCCTGTGGGGCAGTCTTTTTCCCTGACTTTTTGCCCCTGTTCCCTGGGGGAGAAGGACTTTCCTTTCCTCCTGCAGAGACTTAATGCCCCTAAGCCACGTTGGACATTGAGTTTGGCATGGTTGGGGGTGGGGTGGAGGGGTACAGAAGCTTGTCACTGGAGGAAACCCGGCTGCTCTCACCTTGGTGCCAAAATTAAGTCCAAACTGGGAACAGAAAGGGGCAGTTACCTGCTACTGCCTTCTAGGGCCTTAAAGGCCCTGATAGACTTGTATTGTTGACTCTGGGAAATTCCTGGAGGCCACTGCTAGGCTGGGCATGCTCCTGGTGGTCAAGGAGATGGTGCTCAGCATCTGTCCAAGATTCCTTGATGACCCACTTGCCCAGTTGAGAAACACATTGGAGGGTGACTGATCTCACTTGTAATGCACCTGGTGTAGCCTCTTCTGAGAAACTGCCCAGAAAGGATGGGATTTACCTGTCTTGCAGATTTCTAGGAAGCCAGGTATCCTGCCCCCACGCTTGCCCCTCACCCCAACCTTGGCCCTGCTGAGGATAAGATTTGTCCCAAGGCTTCATAGGAGTTCTCCCCCATTCTGTCCAGGGCAGCGCTTAGCCTAGTGCCTGCCACTTAGTAAGTAATTCATTAATAAATGCTTGTTGATTAATAGATGAAGGAGTAGCTTCAGAGATAGCGTGGGAGGGGAGCTGACCCTCTCCCTAGAGGGCCATGCTTCTCAGACTTGGAAAAAGCAGTTGGGAGGGTCATTTAGTAGATTTGAGCACCGAGCAAGCATGGCTCAAAGCCTCTGAATAGAGGAATTTGTTCTGGGCCTCTGAAGCCCTGAGGTCTGTACCAGGTCAGCAGAGAGATTTGTGTGTGTTCCCGGAGGCCAGAAGGTGGGGAGGCCACGTGTTTGACTGTGAAGGAGCGTTGCTCCCTCTAGTGGCAGCAGTTCTGACTGCAGGGCCCTCTCAGGTCATCTGGCCAAGAGCAGGCAAAATCATCTTGACCATCCTTCTGGGGGAAATAGCCTCAGAGAGGGGGAAATGACACATCTGAGGTCACATCTGAGGAGTTTAATGGTAGGGAACTCCAGGACCAGAATGGAAGCCTCCCAGCTAGCTGGTAAAGGAGATGCACTGGTCAAGGTTGCTACTTGCTACAAGCATAAGGTAGAGCCCAGAAGCAAGGTTGTTGTGCCCAGGGGCCTCAGGGAGCGCTGTGGCTCCAGAAACGGAAGAGTGGATGGGCACTATGGAAGAAGAGATGGCAGGCCTTGGTAAGAGACTCGGTATTGGGGCAAAACATAGGCAGGTTGGAGTTAAGACCAAGGTTAAGGGAGACTTGGCCGTGGAGGAGGACAGTTTAGGGCAAGGGTGGGCAACCTGTAGCCTCAAGGCCACATGTGGCCCTCTAGGTCCTCAAGTGTGGCCATTTGAGTGAATCCAAACTTCACAAAACAAATCCTTTTATTAAGGGGATAGGGCATAGATGGCTCTATTACAGGCCATTCAGGGGAAGATACCTGTAAATTATAGAAAAACCTGGGCTCTGGTAGATGGAAATAGTGAGGGCTGGGCCTTCTTGCCCTGCTCAGGATAGTTAAGAGTTTGATCTCGCCATGGCAGCAAAGAACAGGAAATGGAGAATAGAGTTGGGTGGATGCAGAGCAGCCCCCCAGAATAGGAGCCTGGAGGAATAGCTGGGGAGGATTGAAGACTTGCATGTCATGGAAGGCTTTGGAGTGGAAGTGAGGTGATATGTTAGAAGTGTTAAAGGAGATCCCTGTTCCAAAGTCCCTTCAAGCTTTGAGATTTTGTGAAGTAGGTGCATGGAATCCTTAAAGCTGGGGGCGGAGACCTAGTAAAGTAGCCTGCCCCACCTGGAAGTCTCTTGGCTTTGGCCCCGGGATGATCTCAGTGAAGCTAGGGGCAGGTGCCAGGAGGCAGAAGATGAACCAAAGAACAGAAAGCATGGGGGAAAAGAGAATGCTCTCAGGTTTATCCAGAAAGAGGAGATGAAACATGGATTGGCAATTAGAAAGGACAATGGAGCTGAGTCACACCATCTGCACATCAGAGAGGAGAGAGTTGGAAGTGAGGTTGAAATTGGGGACATGAAAGAAGAAAAAGTAAGGAGTCCTGGAGAACCTGATGTGAAGGGCTTGGTGCCCTGAGAGAAATCTTTCTGGGAGCTGAAGAAAGACCTAAGTTTTGGGGGGTTCTCAGACTTTAAACTGGTAATTCTTGATCTGAACAGATGGCTTTGTTTTGAGAGCCTTCCCACCCACCTCCTTCCAGGCGATAGACACTATCATTGTCTCCTGCCTGGTGCTACCTGCTTGCCTTACCTTCTCCTGGATGCCGACCTGGGCTGTTCCTGTCTCCAAAGAGCGCCTGGATTCTGTTTCCTCCTCAATTTCTCCTTTTCCTATTGTGCTCAGAGGACGAGCCACTGGTTACATATAAAGCATTCTGAACTCCTTAAAGGAGATTGGGAGTCAGGGGATTGAGGGGGGCAGGGTGAATCATTCTCTGGGCCATTGGCTCAAGCTTCTTGCCCCATCTGCAGGCCTGTCTGTTGCCTTGGGGTGGCAGCAGATTGACATCACACCTGGACTGTTGTCAAGAAGGAAGAGCCGGAGCGGTCGACCCCTGCCTGTTTCTGAGGCCTCCTCCCCTCCCTTGTCATCCTTGCTTTGTGCCATCCCTGATTTGACTATCAATGTTATGTGCTCGCACGTAATACAAGGCCAGAACGGTGTCCAGGTTGGGGAAGCAGTTGTCTCTTTACTGATGCTGGGAAATCAGGATAGTTTTCTCATCTGTAAACTGGGGTTAGAGGCTTCTGGTTGGCACAGTGGACAGAGCCCTGGGCCTGGAGTCAGGAAGACCTGAGTTTAGATCTGACCTCAGACGCTTAACTAGTTGTGTGACCCTGGGTAAATCGCTAAACCTCTCCCTGCCTCAGTTTACTCAGCTATAAAATGGGGGGGTGATAATAGCAGCTACCTGCAAGTTGTTGTGAGGGTCAAATGAGAGAGTATTTATAAAGCACCTAGTACAGTTCCTGGCACAAAGTAGGTGCTTAATAAATGCGTGCTTCCTTCCTCACTGGGTTGTGAGGCTCCAGTGAAAGATCACAGTATACATGTCTGCTATTATTATGATTACCGTTACAGTGGCCCGTTTGAGTCTGTGATTCTGTTTGTCTCTTCGTCGGTTACCTTGGCCTTCCCATCTATGACTAGGAACCCCCCACCCAGAACACCAGCCCTGATGCCTTGCTTGTTTTTCACCTCTCTGCAGGTTCCTCCGGAGAAGTGCCGCTATGCCGTGGGCAGCATCCTGAGTGAGGGTGAAGAATCACCATCACCGGAGCTCATCCGCCTTTACCAGAAGTTTGGCTTCAAGATCTTCTCATTCCCAGCCCCGAGCCACGTGGTGACAGCCGTCTTCCCCTACACCACAGCGCTGTCCATCCATCTGGCTGCTCACAGGGTCCATCCCGCCCTGGACACCTATATCAAGGTGAGGCCTTTATTTCTCTCTCTGGCCCTGTGTTGCCAGGCTTGAGACTTTACGCACATAGTGGCAGGCCAGGGGCAAGTTTGAGGGAACAAGGTTGCCATATAAAAAGCTTAGGTGAGGGGCAGCTACGTGTCACAGTGTATAGAGCACTGGTCCTGGAGTCAGGAGGACCTGAGTTCAAATCTGGCCACAGACATTTGACACTTACTAGCTGTGTGATCCTGGGCAAGTCACTTAACCCCACTGCCTAGCCAAAAAAAAACCAAAACTTAAATGAGGAGAGTTATCCCTTCCGCCCTTTGCTCTTAGCTGCTGACAGATTATAGTGCTGGCATCCTGGGGATGGGGCAGCTAGGTGGTGCACTGCATAGAGTGCCTGGTCTGGAGTCAGGAAGATTAGTCTTCCTGAGTTCAAATCCAGCCCCAGATACTTACTAGCTGTGTGACCCTGGACAGGTCACTTCACCCTGTTTGCCTCAGTTTCCTCATCTGTAAAATGAGCTGGAGAAGGAAATGGCAAACCACTCCAGTATCTTTGCCAAGAAAACTCCAAAAGGGGGTCACAGTCATACGTGACTGAACAACAACAAGAGCTGTCCCACTGGGAGAGTAATGATCAACCAAGGGCCTCAGTAGGCAGGAGTGTCATCTCATTGGAAAGGATCACCCCAGTTTCCTGGCATCCAGCACATATCGGGCCCCCCCCATCAGCTCCCAAGGATCCTGCCTTCTCCATCGCCCCCAGGCCATTTTTCCCTCCCAAACAAGCAGATCCATCTGAGGTTAAGGAGAGTGCTGGACCAAAGAGGGTGATCCTTCCCGAGACGGCAGCCTTTAAAATTCTCTCCTCCCCATCAACCCGTCCAAAAGCCAGTGTCTGTGTGGGGTGTCAGCCCCTGACCCTGGGAAGCTCCAGCCACTCTGAAGTCAGCAATTAGGGCAGGCATAAGGATAGCCAGCTGCACTCTCTCCTTCCCCCCTAATTCTTTTTGTGACCTGGGTGGTGTGATTCCTGGGGTCAGCTTAGGAGTGAGTAGCAAAAACCCAACTGGCCTTTGGGGATGGTAGAGGTGGACCAGCCTAGAGCTGTCGAAAGTCCAGGTCATTGGACTACAGAGGGACGGTCATTGTAGCCATTGAGGATAGGGCTGGGGACAGAATGTGAGTGGATAATGGAATAGGGGAGAAGCAATTTGATGGGTAGGCCAGGGTTTCTTCTAAGTATCAGGTTTTTAAAACATTATTTTTACATGCATTTATTATTTCTCCCTCTCAGTGCCCCTCTCCCTGGAACAATGCAATTCAAACCAGGCCAAAAAATAAAACCCTCATAACAACTGTGCATAGTCCAGCAAAACAAATTCTCGCTTTGGCCATCTCCCAAAACTCTGCAGTTTAAAATCCATCCTTTCTGGCAGGAGGAGGTGGTGTACTTCATCATCAGTGGTTTAGCTCAGTGGTTTGATCAGAGTTCTAGAATTTTTCAAAGATGTTTTTCTCTGTATTATTGTCATTGTATAAATTGTTTTCCTAGTTTTGTTTACTTTACTCTGCATCAGGTCGTAGAGAGGTCTGAAATGGCTCATTTGGTCATTTCTCATGGCACAATAATATTCCAGCAGTCAGTAGTCAGCATTTGTTAAGTACTGAGGATACGAATTTGGGGGGTGGAGGAGAGGGCAGGGAGGAGACCAGACTTGATGAAGAAGTCAGAGAAATGCCAGAGTAGTTCAGCCAGTTGAGAAATAGGGAGATGTCTGAGCTGGGATATTTCCTTAAATGAAGGTTTGGAGTTCATGGCCTCACCCTCCAGTCAGAAGGCCAGAGGGTGGGGATGAGGCAGAGTCCCAGGGCTGATGAGATCCTCCAGGATGAAGAGGTTATCCCAAGAAGGAGCTTCCTGGGGCACGGTGGGGAAATCAGCCGTGTCACCCCATAATATTCTGTCACATCCATATACCACAATTTGTTTAGCCATCCCCAGGAGATAGGTGCCACCTTAATTTTCAGTTTGGGGCTGCTCACGAAAAGGGCTACTATAAATATTTTTTGTCGGTGTAGGTCCTTTCTCCCTTTCTTTTATCTCTTTGGAATATAGGCCTTTGTTGTTGTTCAGTCATTTTAGTCACGTCCGACTCTCTGTGATCTCGTTTGAGGTTTTCTTGGCAAAGAAACTGGAGTGGTTTGCCATTTCCTTCTCCAGTTCATTTTACAGATGAGGAACTGAGGCACACAGGGTTATGTGACTTGCCCAGGATCACACAGCTAGGAAGTGTCTGAGGCCAGATTTGAACTCAGGTCCTCCTGACGCCTGAGCTGCCCTCTCTCCACTGAGCTACCTAGCTTCCCCAAGTATAGGCCTAGTGGTGGAATAGCTGGGTCAGGGATATGTACTGCAGTCGCTTTGGGGGCATAGCTCCAAAGTGCTTTCCAAAATGACTGAACCAGTTACATCCTCACCAGCAGTGTATGGATGTTCCTGTTACCCCACAGCCCCTCAAACATTGTCATCTACTCTTCTATCGTCTTTGCTGACATAATGGATGTGAGGTGAAACCTCAGAGTTTAGCATCGGATGTTTAGCAGAAAGCAGTTTGGAACATCTTCCAGAGAGTGGGGTGGGGAGGAAGGCAGCCGTTGGTGTAGGTCCCCTCTCGTGACAATCTGGAGTAGCCAGCTTTTCCTTGGGGTGCTAGCCTCTTGAGATAACTAGCTTTGGGCAGCCTTAGCTGTTGGTATCGACGTTTGGTATCAGCCAGGAGAGGGAGCACAGAAGACAGGCTGACCAGGGAGGCTGCCTCCCTTATGTATCATCAGAAATTCACATTGATGGCCCTTTGTCGTCACCCGGAGCTGGACAAAAGGTTTGTCTGTGTTTTCTTTCCTCCATTCTCAGTGCTCCTTAGACCCTTCTCTAAGGGTGGCAGGGCCGGGCTGGGACAAAGCAGTTTCCCCAGCACTCCCCTCTGCCCTGACCCAGTGACGCTGCACTTGCTTACAGGTCACCTCTGGTGCTGGAGCTTTGAGGGCAGTTCTCATACCTAGACCAGGTATGAGAAAAAAAAAAAAGAAAAGCCAGGGCCTTTTCTATGTATGCTGCCTATCTGAAGGGCCAGTCTGCTGTCTGGAAGAAGAAAATTGCTTTGGGAGTGCAGGCCTTGTGTGAAAATGCCTTAGAAATGCAAGTGTGTCCAAGCACCAAAGCCTTTGCCTGGATTCTAGCGTCTGGTTTTTAGATACTTTTGTCCAAATTTCCCTACCTCCCAAGACTTTTTAAGTATTTTAGGTACTGAAATCACTTATTTGAAAGCTTTCACTCCCTTCCTTTCCTCTCCTCCACAAGGGAACCCCAGGCCCCCTGGGGTGAGAAGGCCCCACTGGAGATGGAAAAGGACATGAGATAAAGGGAGCCCTGATCCTCGAGTTACAGGGCTCTCAGCCTCCCATGGTCTGTGGGCATGAATGGGGTGTCTCAGAGAGGGTGTGAGTTTTCCCGCTGACCAGTTAGGGGTCGTTCTGATCCTCCTTCACAGAGCTAGCCAGCCGTCCAGAGGGAGGCCTGCTGGCACCCTTCCCCTCTTATGCCTCCTTGGGACAAGGTGGGAGCCTCAGATCCAGGAACCCCACAGGAGGCATTGGTGTAGGTGGGACTGAAATCCAGGGTCCTTGAGTGTTTCTGTCCCTGCTATTTGTGAAAGGACAGCCACTGGAGGCAGAGCTGTGGGAGTCTGTGGAGAGAGACCAGGAAGACGGGTTCCTGTCCCTTCCCCCTCCCTGTCTGGAACCCCCACTGTGGAAACAGGGAAAGGAGTGCGCTAATGAGGTTCTGGACACTGTGGAGTCTGCTGCCCCTTTGGTTCTGCCTGGATGTGCACCCCCTCTCTGGGCCGCCAGCACCATCGTGCCTTCTTGATCTCAGAATGCAGAGATGCTGATGGGTTTGCCGTGCTTCACAGCAACCTGCCAGTTTTCCATTTCAAAAGGGAGTAACAGTCTGGGGGAGTCCTGTTAAGTGGAGTAAAGGGAGGAGAGGAGAGAAGAGTGAGGAGGAGGTGGGGGGAATAGTTCTGACAGTGGATAGAAGGAGCTAAGGGAAGGGGACGGCAACTGTCCTTGGGACAGTGTTTGAGCCTGGAATCCCCCCGGGCTTGTCTGGGAGCAGCCTGGCTATCTGGGAAAGAACCCTGGCCATCCCTGGAAAGATCCCCAGAGCACTGCATTTATCTCAGGAGCCCAGCCGCCGGGATGATCAGGCCAGTTCCCAGTTTGTGGGGCTCCCAGCCCCAGGCCTCACTCACCAGGCTTCTTCCCTACTCAGCTTCCCAGGAAGCCGGGGCCCCTTTTGTGTCTTCAGGCTGTTTAGGGTCTAGGCCTTGAGCCTCCTTCCTCATTAGCCCCTGAGTATTTGAGGGGTGAAACACCTTGTCTGCCAAGTGAGGAAAGATGGGAGTCATCCTGCTCCTGGTTGGGAAGGAGCACTAGCTCTCTGCTCCCCTGCACATCCTCCTTCTCAGCCTCCATGGCCCGACCTGGCATCCCTTCTCTGCCTCAGAATAAAGGCACCCTTCCCTCAGCCACCTCTGTGAGGATTCAGGACTTAGTGCCCCTTAGGTGCCCCTTCTGGAAAACCTTTCCCATGCTGCTCTCTCTCCTCAAGTCATCCAGTACTTAATGTCTATTTATAAGCTGTTATCTTCTAATAGAATGTAAGTGCCTTCTGAGCAGATTATTTGTCACTTTGGGCTTTTTATCTGATCTTTGCACGTAATGAGGGCTTAGTGAATTCTGGCTTGTTAAATGAAGAGGAAACAGGCAGTAGAGATGCCCCAGAAGAGAGAGGCACGGCCTGCTTCTCCTGCCCTGGTCTCAGTGTGCATGCCTAGTCCTCCCTCCCTATGATTGCTTGTTCTCAGAGGTGAATCCAGAGCAGTCCATGTCATGCCCCATCCTGCCCGTTGTGCCAGGGCTAAGGGCAGGGCTTCTCCCTGGCCAGGGAGAGA